ATGTATCAAACAAACAAGGATCAACAATAGAGATCTACACAATAAACCGAGATCCCCAGCTCCATCCAAGACTGGGAAATCAACTCAAATCACATCTGCAGAATCCAGTTGAAATGAACAAGACAAGACAATTTCCTATAAATTGGTACCAGTACATTCTAACACTATGAACTAGGGAAGGCATCCCATGAAACACACTGATTTGGCCAATCCACAGGGAAAACCATAACCCAAAATCCGAACATGTGTGAGGTATAGTCGGCTTACAATCAATTACTTAATCAATCAGAATATTCCACCAATCAGGCAACAAATGTAAATAATTATCACAAAAATTGTTTTCCACCAATCAATGTAAACAATCCAAATTTGTACATACTATAATCTAAACACTTCACATAATATAATTTAATCAACACACAATTAACAAATAAAAGTATACAACCACATACCGAATTATTCAATTCACACTGCAGCATCACCTATTACACAGTTGTATATTTTTTTTATATCTTTTATATATCTTTATACATATCCACCCAAAACCCAGACCAAAAACCCACCTGAAATATTTCTGATCAACCATCCCAACATCATAAGAATATCTCACCATTCACTTTCAAAGAACGAGAAACAAAAGGCAAAAAATCTTGTCGCAAACTCGGCCACAAATCCATCAAAACATTTTTTAATACTATCTGTTTCAAACACCATTCACCATCCACAAATATTAATTACAAATAATAAACAAATTTCGTGGCTGAAAGCTTTTTGCCACACACTGCGCCACGGAGCATTCACAATATACATTACACACCACCATCACTTCCATTTCGAACTACCATTCACCTTTCAAAGAATGAGAAATAGACGGTAGACCACTTAAAATGTTGTGGCAAAAAACTTCTGCCATTCAATTGAGCTATCACAACATCAATATACCCCTCGTTATCCATTCCAAACCCTCAATAACATTTTCATCTGATGTTTCCACTTTCATTAGGGACACATTCCTAGAACACTTACACACCTAACCCACTCTAAACTTCCCAAACCTACAGCACTGTTAAAAACTAACTCAATCTACCATCCTGAGCAGCAATCCAGACCTAACTCAATCCCCACCGGAATTTTAACCCCAAACCACATTCCAAACTCCTCCCCAACTAAGCCACCCTAATCCCATCCCAACCCCTCATATCTCAATCCCCCCCGACATAATTTCAGAACCCCCTCACCCACTAAGAATTCCTTTTCGCCTTGCCTACATGCAAAGTACGCTCCACGACATCTATCAGTAAGTAAATTTCATTTTTTACATTCTGTAACCATAAATTACCACGTTACGCATGTGATTCTTATCATTTTCACCCATTACAAAGAACACATACCAAATTCAACCAATTTTCACACTGTTCCTAGACGAAATAATCAACAGATTTTTTCGCGTAAACACATGTCACACATGTATGATTCACATAAACGGGAACAGAAATGAATATTTATATGCGGGCATGTAGTTCCAAGACCAGCTAGTGGGGTTGAAACGTGCTTTCCCTGTTATGCTTGGAGCCTGATGAGAACATAAACTTTGGCGATACACTGGCATTAACCCAGGTCTTGGCAATATCACAATACATCACATTAACGCACCTGGGTTATGCCTGCGCGATCATCACAAGAACAATCAATCAAGTCATACACAACACAGTTTTACTATTCATGTATCAATTTAGCTTAAATGTTCCAACTTTTATATCACTTATACCATTTTCAAGTTATATATCACCAGTAACATCACTGTTTGTCTACATTATAAATTGAGCTTCACCAACATCATCACAGTCCATGCATCATCATAACACAACTCACTAGAATCATCAGTATCCACACCATTCCGACCCTATCAGTCACATTGAATCGAAATTTCATTTCACTCCACACACCATTTGATGTTCAACCAATAATATGTCCCAACAGGTAAGCAGGGCCATTTCACAGCATTCCAGGATCTGAATACGTGCAACCACCTTTTTAATCCAATTCCAAAAGAAAAACAAACAAGAATTTGACCATCATCTGCAGACCTGTAACTAGCTATGAGTCAACAGAGTTAGTTGACTTGGTAGGCCAAAATTTGGGGACTGAAATTTAAACATCGCCAGAAACCTAAACCATGGCTGAAATAATTTGTCCGTGGAACAAGGCATGAAATCACATTTTAGGATGAAATTCTAGTTTAGTTTTTCCAAGCAAAGATACTCCAAAGAGACCACCCTATCCCTATCTTGCTCTTCTGTGACACTGAGAAGACAAATGCGTCGATTTAAAGTACGCCATTGCATGTAATACAGTACTGTAGAATTTGAAGTGTGGTGAATGATAATACTATACCACACACATTTTAATTACCGCATCATCACACCAAGAGTGAAGCTTTCCGACGCCGTTTCGTCATAGAGACACGTCCCCTCAGGAGTACCCCAAGGCATCAAGTTAGGCCCCTGGCTTTAGGTCTGGATTTCTTCTAATGGTGAATGACCTACGTGTGAACAGCATCAGTATGTGGAAGTTTGTTGACGACACAACAATTTCGGAAATCATTCCAAAGAATTCCCTCACCCACACTCAATCTTGCCACGTCTGTTGAGAAATGGTCAGCAGACAACAAACTGCACTTGAACGCAGAAAAAGGCAAGGAGCTGAGGATCGACTTTAAGCGTGTTCATCAGGAGTTTGACTCAATTAGAGTAGAGAATGTTCCACTCAAAATAGTCAACCATGCAAAAATTCTGGGCCTGATATTCTCAAACTCATTACAATGGAACCTCCATGTCGACCATGTCATTAAGAAAGCGAAAAAACGTCTGTATTGTCTGATCCAACTCAAACATGCAAATGTTCCTGAGGCAGATATTGTTAACTTTTATTGTACCTGTATTAGACCCACTTTCAAATATGCACCAAAAATGATCCTTGGCAGCCATATTCAGAGAGCCTGCAGCAATCTGGACTGAACTCTTTATCAGTCCGAAGACAAATACTGTGTGAATAGCTTTTCCTTAAAATATCAACTGACAGTAACCATAAACTCCATGCACTGCTGCCGCCAAAACACCAAGCGAAATATAACTTAAGACACAAACGCCTCTATGATCTTCCAATGACTAACACTAACCGCTTTAGAAACACTTTTGTGCCATCCATGATATATTATTGGAAAAATTTTTTGGTTTGTTGGAAAAGTACTGCCCTTGGCCCACCCCAAAACATGGGTCCCACGGCGCCACTGATTAGACAGAGTAAGATACTAATTAAAAGGCGGTAGGATTTGGGTTCATTGCCAGTTAATCAGTTAAATAATTGATTCTCTCTTTAGCTCTGTAAATGGTTGGAAATACCCAAGGTTACAAGATTTACAACCATATAAAATATTACTCAAATTATTCCCTCAGCTACATAATTGGTGATGAGAGTATCTTGATCAATATCAAGCTGAATATAATTATGTTTTATGGAGGGGGGGGGTATAAATTGCATAATGCTGCACATATACCTGTTATATTGTCTATCTGACTTATTAAAGTTACTGGTAACTCATACTTTATCAGTCTGAAGGTCTTCAATCTTCTTATGGCCATTTCCACAAATTTTTAAACTTATTTGTTGCTGGAAGCATTCATCTGACAAGGTAGCGAACGGTTTAGTGACATTTCACGCGGAAGACCATGTTCCCCCCAGGATGGAAAGTTAAAAGTTTGTAGGTTGCGCTGAAGATCTTCGGCAGGGAAAATTCATAAATTTGCTCTAATACAAGTAGGCTACTTCTGGTTATTTCACATTGGTTTCCATGGACACAACCACTTGCTTCAAATATTTTCATAAAAAGATTATAACAAATTTTGTTCTCACCTTTAACGAGCACCGCTAAATCACTTTCATTAACACATGTCTTCATCACTTCGCATCGATTTCGAATCAGATAAAATAACTGAAGTTTAAATGCAAAGCCGGGATGACCCCCGAACTCTTACAAGACATAATATATATCAAACAAAAGCTTATTTCACAAAGATTTCAACTATACCTGATTTTCCTGACATTTCGTAGAGTAAAAGTAAGAAATTGTAAATGTTTAATTGCTTTCCACAGTACAAAGCATTCAGAATTGAGATTTAAAAAAAATCACAGCATCAATTTGAGCTACTCTGTAAATTCGAGTTAAAATAAAGTGTATGTATGTATGTATGTATGGTAAAGATGAGATCCTTCGCTTTCCTCTGATACCCATGTTATCCAAAAAGACACCGGGGGTCACCCCAGATTCACGGTTGAACACAAGGTATTGACGGCGAATATCGGTGCCATGTAATTTAATGGCATTCCACGGCACGAAAATTCAACAACTTTGGCGGCGGCTTGTAACTTTGGAACAACTCAACATCAAAGTTTCAAAATAGGCTTCATTTGTAGATTTACGCTTCATTTATCAACATAAAAAGTTTTAAAAGCAGGTTTTACCTAAGTCATAAGTTATATTGCTGTGAATATAGGCTATTTAGCAGGCGAAATTCGCTAATACCAATGCCAAGAAACCGTAAGTGCGCGGTCCCTAACTGTAGCAAGAAAACAGGTTTACCTTATGAGGATAAACTCTGTTTCTTTCATTGTTCGGCTATGCACAAAGGTTGTCACCCCAAAAATTTAGAACGTGATACACATCACTTCTATGAATAACATTTTCAAGATGATGATTTTGACGGTGTGACACTTGAAGAGCTCACTTGGAAAAGTTATTCGAGTTGAACATTTACATGTATTGCCTTACAGAGCTACATGACGAAGATGATGACACGACCTCCATTGCAGCTCAACTCATACAGCACTCCCATTGTAGCTGCACCAACTCCATGTACCTGAACCTCTATGGTAGTCACTTCACTTATATTAAGAACTTGTCGATGTACTCGAAATCGTACTGTTGCTCCAAGTGTGATAAAATGTGGAAATCGATCAAAGCTCTCAACCAACACAAGCAAACCTGTGAAGCGACTGTATGGCACGTTTCTCCTGGTGGTGCCTACAAAGTTTCGCAAACAATCTTTGATCTACTGGCCGATGAAGGTATCGAGATCCCTGAATACCTCGAGTACTTCCCTTACCGTGCCACCTTTGACTTTGAGTGTTATTTCAAGCGCAAAACTGAACATCCGCAAAATACGAGAAAGTTAACCATGGGAAGCCGAACATATCCTGTTGAGTGTCTCTGTGTGTTCGAATGTCCCTGGTTATGATCAACCCAAATGCTTCGTCTTGTCTGGTAATACCAATGATATGATCCAACAGTTCATGGAATATTTGGTTGAGGTCAGCCAAGAAAGCTATGGATTGTTGCTAGACCAATTCTCCGACGTTTTTCGTCAAATTGATCAACGAGTCAATGAGGTATAATTCACACATATTAGATTCTTAGTATATTTCTTATCCTTAGTATTTTTTCTTATATCTTTAGGTGAAAACAAGGAGGAAAACAAGGAGGTTATGAAAGTTGTCTCGGGGAAGGATAATGAGGTAAATTATAGGAAGGTTATATTTGCACTTATACTCATGTTTACTTGTATTCTAATATATCTTATGTTTTAGCAAAATACAGAGGAACAGATGATTGAGGAAATGGTGGGATGTTTGGTGGGGCCGAATAGCAAGGTATATAACATAATGTTTGAACTCAACAGTGGTCTTTCCTGTGCTTACCATATGTGTTGCCTTTTAGGTATTGAAGATGCATGTGGAGATGATGAAGATGATGCAAATAAAGATAAAGTAATTGAAGAGTGAGTAAGTATCACACTTGTGGTCCATTTTAGCGGTTGTTATATAGATAGTGTTTATAGGGATGTGCAAGTATATAGCTTTTTACTCATGACACCTTTTCATTTATTTAGGCCGGCCAGATGTGGTCCATCCTCTGCTCAAACTCCAAGACAAACTAATGGAGTACTTGATGGAGCTACCAGTTCTTGGCTTCAACTCTGGTAAATACGATATTAATGTGGCAAAAAAAACCTTCTTTTCACATCTCGTCAAACACAAACAAGTTAAGTTTGTGATAAAGAGGAACAATAACCACATGTGTCTTAAGACTCGATATCACAAACTATCTGGCTCTGGGATTTAGTTACGAACAATTCCTTAAGGCTTATGAGTGCTCCCAGACCAAAGGCTACTTCCCATACGAATGGGTCAATTCCCTCAACAAACTCAATCATTGCTCCTTACCACCACACAAAACCTTCCATTCCACTCTGTCTGGAACTGACATCACCAAGGAACAGTACGAGTATTGCCAGGGCGCATGGGACGAAAATAACATGACAACTTTCCACAACTTTCTTGTGTGGTATAACAACCTTTCTTGTGTGGTATAACCCCTTCCTTGAAGTGATTGATAAAATGAGCAATTTCTGGGAAAAAAGGAACATTGATATATTTAAGGACGGTGCGAGTGTGCCTGGCTTAACTATGAAATATTTATTTTCCAACATTCCAGGCACTTACTTCTCCTTGATCAGCAACAAGGACAAGGATATATTATTCAATGAAGGATAATAACGTAGGGGGCCCCAGCATTATTTTCAACAGGTACCACGAGAAAGAGAAATCATTAATACGTGAAGTAGAAGCACGAGCCAAAGGAAAAGAATCGAAACCCTGCAAGAAGGTAGTTGGATACGATGCCAATGCACTCTACTTGTGGACCATCATGCAAGACATGCCAACAAGAGAAAGTACACAAGATGAATGGAGGAGGCATTTTGTGAAAGGGCACTTTGAATTGATATATACTAAGAGATGTTTGCAAAACATCAGGAATTGAACTTCGCCTAATCATGTTTTCTATTTATTGGATAATAGGGGGTTCTCCGCCAGGCGATTGTGCTATTCTTGAATCTCGATGACTGCATTTCTTGCGTTTTCTGAAGTAAATTCGTAAAATATTTGCACTAACATTTCTGACAATTTGCTATTTTGCCAAGGCAAGCATTTAACTTAAAAGGGCACCTTTGCCCCTCCTGCCAATCGGCAACGGGGGTGGCTGGCTTTATGGCCTTTATGACAAGCAAAATTGTATTGTTCACGAATCACTCAAAATTATTGATAGTATTTTGAGCCCAAAATATTTTATTTTGAAGGCTTTAAAGTCCTTGATAATCACAGAGCTTGAGGCGAATAATTGTTTTGGTATTTTTACACAAGTCTTTTGTGTTTTTTGGGACTGATTTCCTTTCCAATTCGCTTATTTCTTTATCAGTAACTTCTACAAAACGGCTAGCCGCCATTTTGAAAATTTCGGTTTCGTCATATTCACCTGCAGGTGAATATAACAGCTTAATAATACTATAAAAGTCCAATAAAGCGATATTGATTCGAGATGTTCAGCAACCAATATTATTTGATTGGGGGTATAGCTACGTGAAAATTATTTGTTTAAATTAATTAAATAATTTTGGTCAACAGTAACAATGTCTCAAAAAAGATAATGAGTCTGTATGGATTATAGCAAATTTCGAGAAAAGGTTGGCTATAAATATAAATAATTGATTATTTGTAACCTGTTCTCTAGCTTGTTGTAATTTTATTATTCTTCTTTTTGGCTTGCTCGCCCAAATTATCCCCCTGGGCAACAACCGCATCGTAATGCCCTGGACCTTGTTGCATATATGACAGGTATATAGCAGTCGGATTATTTAAACTTATCCTCGCACAACTGAAATTATTGGCATGTTATGAACTGTGGTTAAAATAATTAAAGGCATGTTCAAAATATTTGCCATTCCCATAGGTAAGGCATCCCTGAGTGAACCAGAAAATTCTCCACTTCTTCTAAATCTTTCTGTGTTGCTCTGTAAATCGATATTTCCAAAGAATGACCTGTATTCATTTTGATTTAGAAACCATTCATTTACCACCAATTCTCGCAAATGATGTGAAAGATCATTCACAGCAAGATCAGATGTGATGCCAAATGAAAGAAGAAAAGAACGGTGTTGCGTTGGACATTGGTCAGATGACAATATCTGAAGCAACTGAAACGAAACTGATGTAAAGAAGCAATCTCCATCACCCATTGTCAGAACTATGTCAAAACCGAATGAACTGCGATGTTGTGCAACCATATGCATTATGTCTCCATACAGATAACCTATGTCACAATATTGGTGAAATTATTGAAAATTCAATGATTATCCAAAATATGAAATATCCATGAATTTTGAGTAAGAAAAATTAACTTTACCAGTCACGTAATGCAAATTGTTACTTTCCTCTCTGTAATAAGAATCTAACTATATGCATTATGTGTCCATACAGGCAACGTGTGTCAAAATATTTGTAAAAGTATTGAAGTTTTATTCATTATTCAAGATATGAAATATCCATCAATTATGAAATGTGACTAGGACAAATATACTTCACCAGGCATGCAATGCCAATCTTTACATTCCTCTCAGTAAGAGAAATCTAACTGTGTACATTATGTCCAAAACAGGGAACCTATGTCAAAATATTTGTCTAAGTGTTCAAGTTTCTATGATTATTCAATATATGAAATATCCATCAATTTTGAATTTTAACTAAGACAACTTTACTTTACTCATGCATTATGTCTCCATACAGATAACCTATGTCACAATATTGGTGAAATTATTGAAAATTCAATGATTATTATAAGTAATAGCATGGCTTGAGGGAGATTAGTGATTAAATGGCCCCGTAACCCGAGGCAGGTTTGCGGAATTCCCGAGGGCGAAGCCCGAGGGAATTCCGCAAACCTGCCGAGGGTAAGGGGTCATTTAATCACTAATCTCCCGAAAAGCCATGCTATTAGTTTGTAATAGCATAGTTTCGCTCCCATTTTAAAATGGACAAACAT